AAGATATTTCGACCAATATTTTGAAAACATAATACTTAAATTTTTTTTTTTCATTTTGTTTTTGAAACGGGTCAAAACGTTTCCGTTTCCTAAATGACTGAAACAATGTGCCGAAACGAAATTTTAATCCTTGGTCATTGTTAGGCTTGTTAATCGTGTCGGGTGACGTCAATTTGCATAAAAAAAATACGTCAATCATACTTGATTCTTTTATTAATTTGTTTATAATGAATTGTGTCATATTGTGTTTATTTCGTGTATGATTTTTTTGTAACTAATATATAAATGGGTAGTATCGTATATTTTTTTTATTGTGTTCATTCATACCGATTCATTTATTAGTCGTGTGGGGTCAGATCCACTTATTTATTTAATTAGTGATTTATAGAAAACTCAAATCCTCCGTTAAATACCAATTAAGCATCCAAATGTTTAGCCTAATCTGGTTGTAGAGAAAAAATAGACAAAAAGCTTGGCAAATACAGAAAGAGCCTTTAGGTAATTAGTAGAGCTATTAAATAAGCCAAGCTTAAACATTTTTTAAAACTCGTTTATGTGTAAATCGTTAAATAAGCCAGCTCGTTTATGCATAAATTCAGCTCGATTTAGGCTCGATTTTAGCTCGATTAACACCCCTAGTACTTAGGAGTATAGTGGCATCTAAAATGAAGCAAATGATGTAGATCCTTTACTACTTGTGACCTTGCTTAATGGCTTGTGAATTCATGTTAAATATTGTCTTTTGTTTCCCTCTTTCCTTCATTTCTTATCGATGTTTCCTCAAGATATGGGTTGTTGGCTGTAATGGTGATGATTGGTTTATAAAAACAGAAATTTTGAGTTTCCACTCTGGTGTCTTAGTCTTAAGGGCCGACAACTTTTAACGCGACTCCTTAATCTAATACGTAATTGATACGAAATAATGAGTATGAATATATCCATAACGGATTTAGATTACAATGGGGTTGTAATATCAAACCAACTTTAAAAATGTGTCATACAATACGAATTTGACTATAAAATAAACCAAACATGGATTGAAAATTTCTTAACATGATACAACTTGGACACAATTCGAACCCAGTATTACATGGACCTACTATCCAACCATCCCATTCATTTCGTAAAATTTTCAATAAATATTTTTTTGTAAGAATAGCATTTTCACTAGACCCTTCACCTGGTCCATTGGCCCAGCCCTAGGGTTTTTGGATGGCTTGCCTAGGTCATTGACCAATCAAAGGCCTGGCCCATTACTGAGGCTTAAACGGGCCATTTGGAAAGAGATTGACAAATGATCTTTAGCCTTATTTTTTTGTACGGAAACCATAGACAAAAGCTTGGGAATTACAAAAAATTAAGAGGATGATCTTGACCTTAATATTCCAGCTTTATCGAAGAAAAATTAAGACCTTCAAGCTAATTAGGAATATACTCTTAGTAACATGCAACATGTGGCAGAGAATGAAATGGTTAGGATTTTTTGGACCACAAGTTTTAATTATTAATATGTGAGATCCCAAATTCAAAGTTTTCAATAGCCTAATTTCAAGATATAAAGATTTTCTATTATAATAGGTTATTTAAAAGGATCTCTCGTTCTTCCATTAAATATTCTGCTTTTCGCTATATACTATGGTTCAAATATTCAGAGATTCGTTGTTTACGTACTGACTTCATATAATTTAGAAAACATTAGTTTTCTCGAAGCCTCTTATTCATATCTCTTATTAAAAAGCGTTATTCGATAATATCTTTCTAATAGACCCTCTCACTAACTCGAATAAACATTCAAATATCTATCCCATATTCATCCGGGAAGGTACTTGATTACATCAAATCCACCACAAATTCAAAAAGTATAATGACAATTATTGATCACAAAATCAATAGAGGATGAATGTTGATCATAAGATACAAAGTTTCTTTGATCCTCTAATAGGAAATATAATGGTGTGAATTTCTACAATATGATAAAATTACTTATTAGAAATTTTTGATAACATACAAAACTATTTATATAATAAACTATGAAACAATAACATGCAAGAATAAACAGTAACACATAAAACTGCAATAAATAAAACTAATTCATTTGTAGATTAGGAACGGATATTGAATTTTATAGATCAATATTAATGTTTGATACTATATTCTTAAGAGCGATTTTCACCCCTACACTGGTGTTTATAGAAATCTAAGAGTTTGTCACACAAGATACAATGATTTTTACGCAAATAAAAATAATAATCCAATTCAATTGCCCAAGGAACCAGAATAATGTTGTGTACACTCAGAAAATACTATCTCTTAATCACGAAAGGATAGACGATCGACAAAAAAGAGGCAACTGGAGAAAGAAATTGAAACCCTATTCTAATATAATATGTATGTATATATATATATATATATATATATATATATATATATATATATATATATATATTTTTTGGCTGAGATTGAGTTCTATAATCGAGTTGAGCCCGATTTAATAATTTCGAGTTGGGCTTGGGTTCAACCTGTAAATCCTAGCACTGCCCGAGGGTTGGGGTTTTCTGGCCCAAGCCCAACCCAAAAATAGAAAATTGGGGCTGAGTCCTCTTTAAGGAACTTATAATCAGTTTAATCCGTCAAGGAAACTTATTTGTGAGTAAGTTCATTTTTAATCTTACTAATAAGTAGTTAAGTCCACTATTTTTGTAAAACTCTAAAATACCTTCTAATGACTTAAAAGCAATCTTCAACATTAAATCAGTTTCCTAAACAATTATCTTGACTCACGCTTAATGGAAGATTTTTTTTCATAAAATTTGTTGTTCAAATTTATATTTGCCATCACTACTCTCTCTCTCTCTCTCTCTCTCTCTTTTCTCTGGAAAACTTCACACCCAGATTACTTTTCAACCAAATACTTCAATGGTCCCAAACATTTTTTAACCTGTCTTTTCATACTCATCTTCCCCCAACAATCTTTCCTACAATAACTTTGTGCAAAGTCTAGTTGTCAATACTACAATCCCCAATACGACAACGATGATGATAAGGTTCGGAAGAAACATGAAAATGAAGAAGGTAATATACATTTTTACATAAGCATGAGTCAACATATTCTAACTAGCTCACAAGTTCTCCACTCCATTATCCAAAAATCTGATGGAAGGTTCACAGAAATTGATTTCATGTTATCTAGAAGTTCTTTATTTTCTGGATTTATCTTATAGGGCTTGTTTCAGATCTCAATTATAAATTATAGATTCATTTTTTTTTTGTGGGAAGACTGTGGTTAATTTAATATTGAATATTACTATGCATGTTACTATTTTTTTTTCTTGTTATTATTTTTGTTATCCATGTTACTATTTTTTTCTATGTTACTATTTTTTTGATAAGCATGTTATTGTTAATATTGAATATTACTATTTTTTCGAAATGTCAATATTCAATGTTATTTTTTTTTGTTGACCATGTTATTGCTTTTATTTTTTTAAATATTAATATTCAATAGTACTATTTTTTATTTTTGAATGTTACTATTTTTTTTGTGTTTAAGTGGTACTATTTTTGTTCTTGAATTTTATTATTTTTTATTTTTAAATAGTTCTATTCTATATATGAATATAGATAGATATAAGAGAGCGAATTTTAATGTTAGAAAAACTCCAAAAGTTTAGGAGTTTTTAGTTTCCAAATTTGTTTTAATTAAATACAACTAATGAGGGTATTTTGGACAATGAAAATCAAACTTGATTGAATATTAAACAGTTTTCTTAATGGACTTATCACCAAATAAGTCTATAAAGGAGAATTGGAATCCAAATTTGCTAATTTTAAAACCTCAATCCAAGCCCTACTTTGTTTTTTTTTTTTTTTTTTTTTTGCATTGGGCTCAGGTTGGCTTGCTTTGCTCAAGTTACACCCCTAATTTTTAAACTTATTTCCTGAATCTAAATACTTTTTTGAAAGTTTTTTGAAAAACATCAACTCAGCTAATATTTTAAAAAACGTAGCAAAGGCCGAAAGAATCCTCCCTAAGTCACAAAAAGCAGGAGCGGGGGTGCGAGAGCAAAAAATGAAAAAAAAATCTCAAAGTGGGAACGCCTTGAAAACGTTATAGTTTATGAATACATACATAATTACATACATAGAAATTAATAAAAAAATATAATTAAAAAGCTAATTTCTAATTTTTATATAATAAATTATTCAAATCAAAAAGCATTTCTTGTTTAAAAAAAAATCAGAAAGATCAAAAAACATTTCAATAGTCAGGTTGTATCTTTTGGAAGTCGGTTAAATTTCTGATAGTTTTATTTGGTCATTTGCAACATCTGTAGATTTAGTTTATTTTTGCGAGTACTGTTTTAATTTTCATTCTATTAGTTATGAATTCTGTTATTATTTAGATAAAGTTGATTATAAATGTTGAAATCGTGGATTTTGAATCAAAAACAGAAAATTGAATATTGTCAATTGATATATTTTTTCAGATGTTTGAATTATTATGTTTCAGTAATTATAACATAATTTTCGTGGCGTAACAATTTAATGTGAAAATAGATTCTATGAATGTAGGTTGATGTTATAAAAAATATTAGTAGACTCATTTTGTTCGTTATTTATTACAATATTGTATTTTACTTTATATTTATGGATGAGCAAATATTTGTAACTAATTTATAGGTAACATCGTGCCATCAGGAACGGGTAATTGCTAATATATATATACTCAAGTACTTTTACATATTTAGTCGATGTGGAATTGAGTTCCCACACATAAAAAAACACTCTTTTATTTAAAATATTCTAACACTTTGTCAAGGAAATTTCCTCCACGTGATGAGTGTAAGTCAATCTGCCCTATTCTCCAAATATGAACACTAGAAAGAAATAATGCACAACCACTTTATTGACAGAGATTGTTATGTATGCCCTGAAGCCAAGGCAATAATTTGTTATATAAACACAACAATTCCATTACTTTCTTTCTCATTGTTGGCATCATGGTGTTTCCTTACATAGATATTGTCTCCAAGGCCTTAGTGGTAGTAATTACCAGCCTCTGGTTGCTCAGTCTAAGTACTAAAGCTGCTGCTCCTAATTATCTCTATAATTTTTGTGGCAATGACACAACCATTTACTCTCGTAATAGCACCTTTAAATCCAATCTCAATCTCTTCCTCTCTAATCTTTCTTCTAACAATACACCCAACAACTTGTTTTATAATGCAACTGCTGGCCCTGGTCCCCCAGGTGCGGCTTATGGCCTGTTTCTCTGTCGAGGTGATGTTACCATTAATGTTTGCCATGATTGTGTGGTGACTGCCAGTCAAGAGATAGTCAAGAATTGTCCCAATGAGACAGTGGCCTATATTTGGTATGATGAGTGCATGCTACGTTATGATAACAGGTCTTTTTTCGGGACCGTGGATGAATCACCTAAGGTGTCTATGTTGAATACGGAGAATATCGCAGAAAAAGATCGGTTTGCAAAGGTGGTGGGAGATACTCTAGATGAATTAGTAAATCAGGCTTCGAGCAATCGATCTTTAAATGATCAATATGTCAAGAAGTTTGCAACGGGAGATGTTAACTTCACAAGTCGTCAGAGACTATACAGCCTAGTGCAGTGCACACTAGATTTATCCGGGGCTGATTGTAAGCGGTGTCTTCAGGTGGCTATTGATAATCTGTGAATATGCTGCAACGGAAAGTAAGGTGGGAGAGTTTTGCAACCAAGTTGTAATATTAGATACGAGATATACCCATTCTATGGACTCAAAGCCACAACTCCATCACCTTCACCGACACCTCCTCCTCCTAGTCCTCGTCCTCGTCCTCTTTCTCCTCCTCCAAGTTCCTTGACAAGTCCTCGAGGTAAAACTTCGAAGCACAAGCCTAAATAGGAGAATTATCGAGTACAGGCTAGAGAATTCTTCTTTTGTGGTAATAGTCGTAGGCATGGACCAACTAAATGGTATTCCCATAGCACTTACAATTATGAATTTTCAGTTTATGGGGAAGTATGGGATCCATGGTCGGGGAGAAAATCATCCCAATTCATTGATCTCTCAGTTTGAGAAACGAGATAACATTTGATTGAGTTGGGTCGAGTGATATGAAAGTAGCTCTATGATTTTTGACTCGCAACTATTAAGCTTATGTGACAATTTATTATTGATGGTTATTGCCTTAACATTTTAGTTGAGTAATTGTTATTGTGTATGTCAATGTAATATATTTTCGATTTCACAGGTAAAGGGAAACTGTCATCAAAAACAATTATTCCCATTGTAGTCCCAGTAGGTCTGTCTCTGGTTCTTTTGGCCATAGGTTTCTGCCTCCTAAGTAGGAAACCAAGGAGAAAGTACAATGTAGGAGAAGAAGAAAATGGTAAGGATAAAAGACTTCATTTTATCATGAAATTGTATTGCTTCATGCTATTACCTTTGTAGTAGTGTCATTCACAAACTTCAACAATTTTATTGTCTGGTTGTGTAATTGGGGATGAAATTACAATATTGCAGTCCTTACAATTTGATCTGGGCACAATTGAAGTTGCCACAAACAACTTCTCTTCTGATAACAAGATAGGTGAATGCGGTTTCGGTCCAGTCTACAAGGTAAGTCGTCAGAAACATCTAACTATGGTAGAAATCTGACTAATTCAAGGATTTCAAAAGCTCTAGAAGTTGAGATACATAAATGCATGAACATAGTTTAGTTAGTTAACTCAACTCACAAAGCCTTCATCCCAACTATTTCGGTTTGGGGTCGGCTACATGAATTGTGTTTCTCTACTGTGCTTTTGAATATTTTGATTAGTTGTAACTCTCATTTGCATATTGCAGGGTATCCTTGCTGATGGACAAGAAATAGCAGTGAAGAGGCTATCCAAGAGCTCTGGTCAAGGTACCACAGAATTTAAGAATGAGGTTGTTTTGGTGGCCAAACTTCAACACAAAAATCTTGTAAGGCTTTTGGGGTTCTGCCATGAAGGAGGGGAAACGATGTTAATATATGAATATATTCCCAACCATAGCCTTGACTCCTTTCTGTTCGGTTAGGCCCTCTCTAGATACACCCTTTGAAATCACCTTCTTGATTGATGCTTTCTCTGATCTTCACGAGATGAACTTAAAATTTGTGACATCTTCGACACACAAATCCTGTGAGAATTATGCCATAAAAGTCTTAAGAAGATAGTGAAAATTGCATTAAGATCAAACACTGAAGAGTTAAGAGTATTGCAAGACTAGCAATAAACACTATACAATATTAAAAATCGAACTCATCTCGTAATATTTGTATTTTGAATGATAATTTAACTTTTTTTAATTGCGCAATTTAAAATTAAAAATGATGAGAAATGTAGATGTGGATTGATAGATTTGTTTGATATTGAGGAGTGTATTGATTGGGTTATTTTGCATTGGAAGTCATGTAGAGAAGTTGATGAGTTGATTTTTTAGGTATGGAAAATTGTTTTAAGATGAATTTTGTACCATTAGATCAAAGTAGATGAATGTTGGATAAAACTTGACTATTGTTGTGTTTTTATAAGTTGATAATTTCACTTCGTAGCTCTAATATTAGTTAGATATAGTGTTTTTTAAGAAGTTGTACCATCTATTTTGCTTGAATTATTTCATTGCCTGTTTAAACCTAGCTCCTTGTTTTTAATTTATGAAAATAGATCGGGAAAAGCAAGGATAGTTGGATTGGTCAAAACGTTACAATATTATAGGAGGGATCGCCCGGGGAATTCTTTATTTACATGAAGATTCTCAGCTTAGAATTATTCATTGCGACCTCAAAGCAAGCAATGCACTATTAGATGGGGATATGAATCCAAAGATTTCAGATTTTGGCATGGCGAAAACATTTGGTGTGGATCAATCTCAAGGAAAAACTAGCAGAATCGTTGGAACATAATGAGTTTCTCAACACTCTGTTTTTTTCTTTAGAATTTATCTATGTCAGCAATTAGCTATTGCTTCACCCCAATTAACGAAATGCTAAAAGAAAAAAAAATAGACAACAAAAAGGTCATTTGGATTCTTCAAAATTGCAACTTTTTTTTTTGGTAAGTAAAATTGCAACTTAAGGCTTCTATGGAGATTCAATTTTTTTTGGTTCAATTATACAAGGTGTTCAGGCTAGCTTACATATATCTTGATTGATCTTTTCTCTGGTCTGGTCAAAGGCAAGTCATTCATGCCAGAATTAGGATATTGTTGATGAATAATTCTTTCATGGCTTGATCCCAAGAAATTGTCAAAATTCGAACTCGAGAAGTTTAGTTTTTCTTTACTCAATATGATTGCTTACAGAGATATTAACACTAATTTAAATTTTAAGTGTGAGTGGTTGTAGTTATCCTATGTTCAAAAAAAAAAAAATTATACTGGTCCGTGTGTGTTCCAGGATGACTTTGGTTGTGAGCTTAGTTTCTTCCTTCTTTGGGCCTGACCATAAGTTGGGTGAGGCGTCAGGGCCTCGGCGGGTAAGGGCTGGGGCTATCCCACATCGGATGGCTTTAAGGTGTGTGTTGTGTTTAAATGGATGTTATGACCCTCAAACTTTTAAGTGTGAGTGGTTGTAGTTATCCAATGTTTAAAAAAAAAGTGACTTGTTGTCTTACTCAAGAAATGAAGTCATTAGATGCATACATATTGGTTTATTGTGTGTACAAGAAGATGTAGATGACAGGCCCACCATGGCATCAGTGGTGATCATGCTCAACAGCTACTCTGCTACCCTACCGATGCCTCGAGCACCTCCATTCTTCTTCCGTAGCAGAACTGAAGCAAGTACATCAACAAAGGGGCCGGAGTCTGATCAGTCCACAAGCAAGTCAATGCAATGGTCTGTGAATGAAGTTTCCATTATTGAGCTATACCCTCGATAATAAGGATAGTTGAGCACATGAGACAAAACTCCCACTAGTTTTGGATTGTTAGATGAGATATACCCTAAGATAGTATGGGAAAACAATGAATATTTTTATCCTATTATGTAATTTGAGTTAAACAAGTTTTAGCATCTTTATATACTCTATTAATGGAAGTTGTGGAATTGAGCTATCAACAGTGAGGTTATGGATTTGAATTGTAAGTAATAATTTTGTACAAACAATGACAAAGTTTATGTTTGTATTTGATTTACTCCTCCCATCACTCCCCTATCAAGGGGTATGTTAGTTTTTGACCCTCTTTTATTCATAAAGTTGTATGAAAAACTAAAATAGAGTTAACTATCTATTTAGTCTCGTGAATTATATTATTTGTGTTAATTTAGTCATTGAATTATGTTTTTGTGTCCGACTCAATGCGGCTATTCTATTCAAATTTACTGTTAACTTTGATTGAAATCCTCAAATGCACATCACGCGATCCCTGAACTATATTATAATATTTGACTCGTGTGATGTGAACGTGAGAGTTTATTAGCGGTTAACGTGAGAGTTTATTAGCGGTGAACTTTGACAGAAAAACCACATTGACTCAGATTAAATAGTTCAGAGGCTAAATTAGTACAAAACATAATTTAGGAACTGTGTAATTGCAAGTAAATGGAAATATAATTTGTGTGGGTCAATTCATATTCGAATTAAAATATTCAATATTTGGGCAAAAAATGAAAAATCGACAACATTAGGTTAAAGAATACGAATTTAACTCGAATTGAAAGTTCTATAATATATATTGAATTTGGTTGATTTCTCGATCTGTCCAACCCATTCTAATTGAATCTGAGCAGTAAAAAGTAATTCCTATTTCAAATGCTGAACTGCTATTTTCTTTGACAAGATGTCCTTTTTTCTTTCCTGAAAAATGACTCTCCCCCTTTGTGAACACCGCATTAATCAAACCGAATAAAACAAGCGATTCAGACAAACACACATTAATCAGATTAAATGAAACATGTGGTTCAGACGAGTCCGACCGTCATTGTTGTTGCCCATATTTTCTCTTGGACTGGTTCCTCTGTTCTATGCTTGACTTGATCTTGAGTCAGGATGACTCATATTTATGACTCAAGACAAGTAGATTTTTCTTAGCGTGTTCCAAGGTTTCAGTCTGCTCATTTTGTGGCTGTCAACAAAGCAAGACCTTCCAAAGTCAATAACACACCCATCCCTATCAAATGTCGGTGGGCTCCTCACAAAGTAGGTGGATTTAAAGAAGGGTAAAATTTTGTCAATTTTTCAACAATTGTGTAATTTTGTCTTTTTGCATAGGTAACGATATTTTTTACATTACAAGGGAAGGGAAAGGAAAGGGAAAGGGAAAGGGAAAGGAGAATCTACCAACTTGCCACTCTATTATAGAAGGCTCCGATCATTCGGGGTAACACTTAGTCCTAATTGTGTAATTTGTTGAGTTGATATTTTTGTAGGAGATAGTGAGATTTATAATTATTCCAATTCACAATGACATAGTGTAATTTAGAAAAAAAAATTGTGTAGAGTTACTCTGCTCTAAATAATTTTGGACAAAATTAATAAACAAGATATCAAATTAAAATAAAAAATAATGAATTTATATTTAGTTTTAGAGGGTTTAGGATAATGAACATATAGACTTGTTATATTCATCAACTCAACTAAACATGACACAAATTCATTAAATTTGGTTTAAGCATGGTTTTATATATAGCACAAACTCCACGCACTACGAATCTTACTATGTATGATTATAAGTAAACTAACTATGATTAAAGTAAATTTTGACACTGCATGACTTAGACGAAATAAAATCTAAAAAGGTGCAACACAACATGACCTTTTATCAATTATTTT